TGTATATCGTTTTTGAAAAAAAAAGTTAATATTGTACTCATTCTCTACACATATGCAATCTTAATATGGATTCCCACAATCAGGAGTGCAGCTTTAATTGATGTCTACCCAAAAAACTGGTTTAATCAAACTGGTTTAATGACTGGTAATGACTTGTTTAATTGCAACAACATAAATTCTGCTCAATGAGGTAAATTCAGCTAGTGTCAAATAGTTAAATGAAGTAGGTTTGAAATTCTATTCTCTTTTCCTATACAAGCTGCCAAACAAAGTGTTAGGGGCTCCCCAAAAATAATCTTTCCATCTGTGATAATGGCTGTGTACCAGGTGCATGTGTTTATGAAGGGGAGTGAGGGACTGCAGAACCTATTAATTTGTCTTTCCTGTTTAACCAGAACACTCAGTCAAGAAAAGCAGAATAATTACTTTGCAAACAAACATTAAATATGTACACTAAATCTGTTTATAGCTTCCTCCTAAAAATTATAGTGTTTGTGTATATTTATACACATTCATATATATAATGGTATGTGTGTGTGTGTGTATGCACACACATACACAATACTACAACAATTGAAGTGGTTGACATTGGATCAGGACCTCATTAAGACATCCACTCTTGGGAACAGTATTGAAAGTTCCGATCTTCAGACTGCACCAAGAGCCAAGCAACTTGCTCTTCAATAAGTATGTATAAGACTTGCTGGATGTGTTAGCAGCATCCAGACAGGATGAACTTCAGAGGCATGAATCAGGAATTTTAAACAAAGGATTCCCATGGGCCTACTCCAGACTATCACTGGGATGCTTCAGGGAATGGAAGTGACAGAGGCTTTAATCTTCAGTCCACCAGTTAAAGAATGGCTCAGCTTGATAAAGGTAACCCTACCAGATGCTTCACCATATGAAGTGAACAGTTGGTCTTGTTCAACAGCAACTGGAATAAGTGCCCATATCACACCAAAAATTACTACAAACAGTATTTAACTCCCTTTCTAGGAGCCTCAGCAGAGATCAAGAAGAAGGATTTGTTTGAGTTCCAAACTTTGATTAACCTTTACGTAAATAATCAGCTGAGATGTCCCCTGGTGATTTTAATTTGCTAGGAAAAAATTGCTCCCCTCAATCCATTGAGGTGAGGGATTTCAAAGCCACAGTATAATTAGCTATCAGTATTAGAGTAGCAGCTGACCAGCTCTAAAAATAAACTAAATTACCCAGGGGATCGCACGCTTCTTAGCTTCTGTAGTCTGAGTGTAACACTGTACGGAATTGTGAGACACTTTATGTTATTATTATTAATATCAATATTATAAAATTGCAATTACTCGTGCCAGATATGCCATGTAAGGTGTCAGTGAAAATCCTGTGATTTGCCAAGCTTGGTAATCTTGTTTATATGTTTGTATGACCTTTGTTTTGTGAGTTATAGATATATATGGTATATCTGTATTTCAATTCTTGTGCTGTGTTTCTGGGTGACACCCCCAGACAGAGTGGCATCCACATTAAGCTTCCTGAAGGCCCATCAAGGGACATCAGCTGTACAAGGAACCCATTGAAAAAAGCCTAGGGCTACACCTTATGAGTCAACAAGAAATGTAAGGGCATGCCTCTGGATAGCATTCTAAGGCTTTTCCAAGCTGTGTGCTGTGAAGCTTGTGTTTGGGACAAAGGAAGTACAAGCCACATGGCAAAGGATATAAAAAGGTAGCTGTATCATCTCCATTTTGTCTTCAATCCTGCTTCCTACCTCTGGAGCAACTTCTCTACACACTGAAGCATTCAACAAAGGACTGAATGATCCATTGAAGGTGTGGGTGTGTTCCAGAAGTACTTTCAAGCCAGCAAATTCACCAATACTGCTAAGAACCTGATATATGGACTTTGAAGTCTTATGTATGTATTTGATTGCTACGCCATTTAGCAACTCTCTTATTGCTCTTTCTTTTCTTTTGTAATAAACAGTTAGTTTAAGACACTAAAGGATTGGCTGGCAGCATGGTATTTTGGGTAAGATCCAAACTAATAATGAGCTGGTAATGAGGCTGGCCTTTGGGGTCAGAAGAATATTATGTATAGTGAGCAGAGTTTTTAAATAACTTCTCATTGTACTGGACCTATGTGCTGATTGGGAGCCAGAGAACTGGAATGAAATAAAGGGGTCCGTGTGATTTCCTTTTTTAGCTTCTTGATAACCAGTGTGGGGGATCAGGAGCACAGTTTGTGACTAGTTGGTGCAGTGGTAATCCACTCGCATGCCGCAAGACAGTTTGTTTACATTGACCGTCCACAGGCACAGCGACCTGCAGCTCCTGGTGGCCACGGTTCTCCATTCCCGGACAATGGGAGCTGAGGGAAGTGGCGCAGGCTGCAGGGACGTGCTGGCCACCACTTCCCGCACGTCCCATTGGCTAAGAACGGCAAACCGCAGCCACTGGGAGCTGCAGGGGGCCATGCCTGTCGATGGTCAATGTAAACAAACGGTCTCGTGTCACACGGCCTGCAGGTTGCCCACCGCTGGGTTAGTGAGTCTAACTTGAGTGTTAACCACCAGTTTTTGGGAGAATCTGCTCTCCTTTTTGCAGCCTGCCCTCACCTTGGCATTTTCAGTGAGGACTACCTCAAGTACCAGGGCTCACACCAGCGAGTCCTTGAATTCCTCCATTTCCCCCACAAGTCCCTCATGCCATGGTCTCTATGCCTCCCATTCCCTCCTCCACATCTCAATTCCCTTCCCCAGGGGCCCATTTTTCCTTTCCCCCCTCTCCATTCCACATCCCTGAAACTATACCCATGCACCCAGTTTTCCCCTCTGAGTTCCTGTTTACCTTATCACGATCACTTCCAATCCCTTGCACGTCTCTGCTTCCTCCACCATCTTTCTCCCTCCTCACAACTTCTTGCTTCCCCCAGCACTACTACTCTATCCCTCCAGTCCCTGCTGATTCTCCCTACCCTCACTCTTTCCCCACTCTGCTTCCTGCCATCCCCTATACAACTCTTATTGCTAACAGAGTCCAGCCTACAGACACTATCTTCACAAAGCAAGTTCAGCCACTGCCTCAGATATGTTTGCATATCAGCAGCAGACAGAGATTTCTCTGTCTGCAGTCTCAGGCAGTTTATGGCTTTGACCCTCCTATGAATCAGGCTTTTCTGGTGTTTCAATTTGCACCAAAAATCAATACAGTTGTGCCCACTGATGCCTAGAACATTCCCTGGAATTTTAGAATTGACCAAATGCAGCATTCCAAAGGTTATAAATAGATGCCACTGCGTGTCAGACATTATCATTCTGCATCAAGTAACTAACAAAGACTGGACCCAGTTCTTGCACTGAGTGGGTAATTACTTACACCCATATAAAGTGAATTCACCAGTGGTAGCATTTTACACAGGTGTGAATACTTAAGTTACAAGACAGTAAAAAATCAGGCTAGAACAGCTTTTAGTGAAAGCTCAGCACTTGCTGCATACAATGAAACCTCTGACAAGATCCAAAATGAGGACTGAATTTTTGTTTCCCTTTCTCAGTTTTCTCCTGTTTGGGATATTAAACCAGTACATTGTTGCAAGATTATGCGGTGCGAAAGTTACACTCTCCAACATGCAGAGTCACCCCAACAGCTGCATTTCCTGTGTTTGCTGACACCTGGGTAAACCAAGCTGGTGTCAGAGAGCTTCATTCACCTCTGCTTAAAATAGTAACCAGGAATGCCAACTGAGCATGCTTGGCAATCTTTTTCAGTTGCTTATAACTTTATTGTTCAATTAAATTTCAGACTTGGTAGAGACATGGGGCCTGATCAAATGCTCTATTAAGTCAGCTGAAGTCTCTCTGCGGACATTAACAGGGCTTGGATCAGGCCTATATTTCTTACATTTAACTATTTACCAGCCACATTTTTAAATTCAGTCGGTCTTGAATTAAAAGTAAGAAGATTAACCAAAGTGAAAAAGTACTTTCCCTAAATTTAAACTAAAGTGTGACTGAAAGATTTTGCATACAAGGGGGAAAAATAAAATAAAAATTAAATTGTGTGGAAAACTATTGCCTGAAAGGTGAACACAAATGATAAGAGACTCTTTTTTCAGTCTTAACTATAATAATAGAATAATAGATATGAGGAGCTGGAAGGGATCTCAAGAGGTTGTCTAGTTCTACCCCATGCTGAGACAGGACCAGTGCAACTATTATAGTACTGTTATGCTGAGAGGTATTAGTGGCTGCATGAACCACAAACCCCTTTCAGATTGGATGTGAACACACCCTTAATTAACATAACTGTGAGGATAAATTATGCACAAGGTGCTCCCTTCCCTGCCCTATGATACAAAAGGGTAGTGAACTCAGCCAGCATTTTGGACTCAGTGGGTGAAGGGGTGTGGCTGAGTATTTTAGGTGTGTGGGAAGGCAGAACAGAGAGAAACTGAGACCAGACAAGAAGAAGGAGAGGCAGAGGCAAAAAGCAAGAAAGCCAAGCAATAGCTGGTGAGTTCAGTGTCACTCTGGAAAAAGCTAGCGAGAGAGCTTTTGCATGTGTTGGCTAGAGAGGCTAGGGGTAGTAAGCTAAGAAACTGCTGTGATGGGATCCCCCGGGGTGCAGCCTGGGACTGTAGGACCACTGTGCTCCCTTTAACTTCCTCCTTCCTGGGCTGTCTCTCACAGTGCCTTGCTAGTGACCAGCAGAAAACCCCTTCAGATGCTGTTATCACTCAGAACAAAAGCATGTGGAGCCCCACACCCAGCTATATTGCATGAATGCTCCCAGAGCCACTCATGAATCACACAGAGAAAGACACCAGAGCCAAATTCCCCCTAGCACCATAGCTCAGGAATATACTATCTTGCACTGCTCAAGATGGGCAGTGCAGATTTATTAATTGGTTCACCTCTTCAACAGTGGAAAATGGTTATACACCAGCCTTTGTCAAACCTGAGCAGATTTGCCATACACTTCATACAAACTCACTGGTAAAGATAAACCATGAAATAAATTTATTGACTATAAAAGATAGATTTTAAGTGATAGGCAAAAAGTCAGAGTTCGTTACCAAAAGAAACTCTCAATCCTATTCGACTGGGCAACTTCTAGATTAAGCAGTTTTTCTCACTTCACTGGATATTGCTTAATATACAGGTTTGTTCCTTAAACCTGGGTCAATCTCCTCTATTGGAGCCTTGTCTTCTCAGTGTCTTAATTGCTTGCAGTATAGGTCGAGGCAGAAGAGTAAGCCAAGCCTGGGCCCCCTGTGTTCAATTTTATATCCTCAGTCCATGTGCTTGTAGAACAGAAGTCCAAGTATGTCTGGGAGGCATTGCTGAGTCTCCAGGCAACGTTGAGCAATCCCCCTGGTGTGACCTCATGCAGGTGAGTCATTGCATTGTAGCTCCCTTGATGGACAATGGTTGTTGATGGGTTGTTTCACACCCCGTCTGGGTATTGGTTACTTTCCTTGCTGTTGCCTCTGGGGAGCTAATATCTGGCTGATTCCCCAACTTACAGCATGTTTTAGCTACAACCATAGAACACAATTCTCATAACTTCACATGCAATAATAATACATATATATGGATAGAGAAATGACTTTCAGCAAATCATAACCTTTCCCCCTGATACCTTACAAGGCATGCTTTATATGTAATATCACAATTATATACAGACGAGGAATATGGAGGGTTACAGGATGCTCCCACAAGGTACGGAACGTCACAATTGCTCCTTTAGATCGTGGTTCTTTCTACATTTGGAGAATGTATGTTCCTTATAAATAAACCAGATTGTATCAAAGGAGATACCAAACTCCAACATTTTCTACTTCCAGGTGGAACATCCCCAGACCCCAAACGTTGACTAGCTTATAACAACCAACCTATAGCACCTTTCCCACCTCTGATTAATACAAGTAGGAAAGGAGGGTATAACTACTGCTGCATGAAACTGCCACTGTAAGATACATTCAGAATCTTAATATATAGCCCCCTCCTTCTCTACAGTATGTAGGTTGTCCTATCAAAAGGAACTGTCTGTTCCAGTAGTGTGACAACTCTTTTCTTCAGCACACCACTCAATCACAGGTAACTGCTGATTTTAGTTGCTAGAACTGTATCCCAAATTAATAAGAAAAGATCTTGTTATATAGGCATATTGCATGTCTTGGTTCTGCAGCTCATTATAATGTATTCATTCTTATTTAGGAATAAGTGTTTCATTATATTGTTGTACAGTATTTTAGAAACAGTAGTTTCTAAATGGCTGACCTCTGAATTTTCCATCTTTATAGTGTGCAGTTAATTAGGATGGTTGTGGAAGTCCTTACCTAACATCTGCTAGTGGTAATAGGAAATCTTATAGCCACTGTGTTGGCAATTTTTGTGGTATCCCGTCATCATTTTAAGTATAAAACTACACTGTGACTATTTTAAGGAAATACAGCAGAATTACTTCCTGTGTGTATAAGAGAGATCTACATATTTTGACTCAGTTTACAGATCCACAGATCAAGATGCAGTCCACAGTTTACACTTGCTTCTCTTGGTCTCTCTAGTGGCGCCATCTGTGGAGGTTATACCACCTATTAGGCAGGAAACTCTAGCAGGAAGAGAGATGGGAGGCAGATCCAAAGACACCCACACAACATGATGCAAGAGAAACATTGAGACATGATAGAAGAATAAGAGGAAGTAGAAGTTAAAAGAACATATTTAACCAAACAAAATACTTTTACACAGGTCAAAATTAAACAGCGGACCTCACAGCACCAAGATAGGGGCAAAGATTAGAGTGGGACTTAAAAAAAAATAGTTATTTAGAGGGCTAGGACTATTCACAGTTACGCAAAGCCAAGATAAAAAGGATCAGGAAAATAAAGCCTGACACTTCTCGACATTAAGCAAATATTTACTGGCTGGATTAATAAAGAGCTTCTTCAGCATGTATCATAGCAGGCCAACATATACAAAAAGGCCTTGACATTGGAATTCTTAAAAAAAACAAACCCCTCTTCCTCAAGGTTTTGTCCTCTCAAGTGTACGTGTTAAGAATGCAACTTCTTCCCCAAACTGGTAACGAGTCTCACAATTTATGCCAAAGTCTTCCATCATTTTGGAAAAACCTACCCAAGACCCTCTAACTCCCTCCACAGTATTTCCTCTGTTGAAGGCAGTTTATATCCTGCCCTCTTTCCCAGGATTCCTTCTGGATGAGTGAGAGAGACAGGGGAGCCTGTCCTTGTTCCCTCTTCAGGGCTCTACTTTCAAATCCTAGCTAGAATTAGCAGCCTCAGTCCACCATCTGCTACTTTGCAACTACTTCCACTGTCTCAGTAGTTGTTTCCTTTGTTCTCCACATTCACATTTGTAGTGAAGAATCTGGAGACTTTACCCCTTGGTCTTAAAGGGACAGTATATCATTACAGGCATGTTATTGCATAAGGTTTTCATGAACTTCTGTTGCTCCTTTTAGAGGAGTTTCCCCTTCCCCACCCTGTTTTGCCCATCAGAAGAGCCAGCTTCTCATGGTTTGGAAGGAGGAGCCAAGAGTTGTGTGGAAGCCCATTGGTTTCCATGCAACAGAAGGGGCTGAAGGCAGCTGTCCATCAGGCTGAACAGATTATGGAAAGAAGGATAAATGAATCGTACAAATTATTGTCAGATGGTTTCCTTATGAATTAAGTTAAGGCCTAATCAGACCACATCCCTTGTGTCTTGTCTTTCTTCCTGCACATCTGGAATAATTTCTGTCTATTCCCTTTTCCTTGAGCAACCCTGGCATTTCCACACACAAAGCTTGTCTCCTGGGAGTTAGCTCACAGCACCGTCCCTATGTGGTCTCCTGGGACTTGTATGCCTCAGAAAGCTCTACATATTTTCAGCAGGCTGGGCCAATAATGGTGGAATAAAGCATGCCTTCTTTTGTTGTTCAACCATTTTCACTTGTATAATGATGTGAAATGACGATGAAAAGGGCTTTGGGTATCAGTTTGATTTTTTTGTCTGCTGAGCTGAATGATTTCATCAGAATACTTTTTAAATGAAGCCCAAAATGAAAAAAAAAAGGACTATTAAATTCTGAAAGGTAAAAGTTTGAAAATATGAAAGAAGGTCTCTGACTGTGATTGGGATAGGGTGCACCGATGAGAACAGATGCTCTCAATGACCATGTTCTATGTGATTTCTGACCTTAGACAAGCCCAGCACTGTTATGGAAATAAAGATAAATTATTCTAGCTATCTTTGTTGCAGTCTGATGTGCAACATCAAGGATCATCTTTCATGAGTTTTGATGGCTTTTAAGTTTATTACCACTTGATAACTGAGAACTGTAGCACACCAGAACAAGAACATCATAATATTAACAATAATTAGCTATACGGAAATGTTTGTTTGAAGCTCAACTTTACTGGGGATTATGACTTCTTGGATTCAGTATTTTACATTGGAGCTAAGTCTATTTCATCTGAAAAATAGCCCAGCTGGCCATCAAATGATGTACAGTAATGTAGAGTAGTAAAGACCTGAACATTTTACAGTGAGAAGAAAACTTGAATATAAGCACTAAACTATAATATTGCAAATCTCTGTGGGAGGGCGCGTAGTATAGCTGCATCCAAGAATCCCATAGGGATTGATGTGACATTGGTATCTGCTATGAAGCAGAGCTGTAGGAGCTTAGAAAAAACCTGCCTGGTGAGCAAAAGCTCTTTAATAAAATAAAATTCTCAAAGCTGTTAACTAAAGAGAGTATAATTAAAGATACATACTGTTAATCTAAAATATACCCAGTCTTTTTATAGGCACAGTATGTCAAAGTGGGAACCAGCATATTTTAAAGTGATAGGTTAAAAAAAAATAACACTCAACTTTTCGCCTCGCCCACCCCAGCCTAAACTGTAGGATTCCAACACCTAGGCTCCCTTTGAAATTTAATAAACACATTTAAAAATGTCCTGCTCTGTCTATGCCCCCTAGCCAGACCTTTTCTCTGTATTCTCCTGTTTGAACCGCGGGGATTTGTAAGAGCAAAAATAGTGGGCCTGATTCTCTCTAAATTATACTGCTAAGTATCAAGAGTAACTCTATTGAAACAAGTGTAAAAACAGTAGTAGTGAGAAGAGAAACAGGCTCAATTAGAAGATTATGAATCAATAAATGGTATTTCTAATCATTAAAGTTAAAAAGGCAGATGAGCAAAAAATATGTGTTGACAATTTATTAATGTCAAGTTGATTTGGTGCCAGTGTCCTATCTGTATTGCAATTCAATAGTTATCACTAGAACTACTCCTTGTGTTGTGTTTACCTTTGAAGTTTATCAGATGTTTGGCAGCAAGGCATATTAACCCTTTAGAGCAGTAAGGAGGAGAGCATGTTGATAAAAACAAAACAGATATGGGGCAAAATTATCTTGAGTTTACCCAACTCTATTCTACAACCCTCCTATACATGCTCTTTCTAACATATATATGTAGAACCCGACATGTTGCAAATTTATGTTAGGGTGCTTAGAGTACTGGAACTGAAATATACTGTGTAGATGTGAGAGAAGAATTCAGCCTGTGGAATGGAAGGCAACACCCATGCTGAAAGAGAATTGTGGAAAGCCACTTTAATAAAAGTGGAAATTGTCCTTGATCACAGGGCCAAGGGTAGACCATTAAGACAGAAAAATTCACCCGGGGCTCAGCTTTCTATTCTATTCTATTCTATTCTATTCTACAGAAGTTCTTATGCCATCCTCATCACCACAGTATATGAACACTTTCCAACAGTGCATTAAGCAATATGGCTAACATCTGTCATATATTTCTCTCACCCTCTCCCTAGGGAGAGAATTGTCTGTGTAGTGGAGTGTTTGGTTTTTGTAGAGATTTTTTGTTTTATTTTGTTATGTCTTGTTTTATTTGCTTAGCAAACGTATACACTGCTGCATGTTTGTGTTAGAGAAGGCAAAACTGAAGAACTGCACTTTGCACTTGGAGTGGAAGGTGGTAGTTTTCCATTCTTGTGGGAATTCCACTGTCTTGGGCCAGCCCCTCCATGTCTCTGTCTTCTGCACAGACGAGCTTTATCCTGATGGTAGAAGGTTCTATTGTGCCAGAGGACTGGAATTGCTGACCACTGACTTCATCCCAAAGCTTTAGTTAATCTTTAGATATCCTTGGTCCAGGCCATTGAGCACCATTAAGACTAAGACTGAGACCTTGAATTTGACTCAATACTATATAGGAAGTCAGTGCAGAGAGGGTAGGGCTGGGCTGATAGGCTTGGGGTAACTTGCACTGCTGAGAAGAAGCATTGCAACATTCTGTATGAGTTACAGTTTCCTAAAGGCTTGGATTTATGTCCAGATATATTGTATTGCTGTAGTCCAGCTGGGAGATGACAAAGGTGTTTAGAACCAAGGCCATGGCATTGGCCACCAGGATGGGAGAGAGTTTACAAGCAAACCAGAGACGGTAGAAAGTATTATGCATAGATGCTGCTGTGTAAGAGCTTAGTGTCAGCAAGGAACCCAAGAGCACTTCTAAACTACAGACAGAATTAACCACTTGTGGGTGTGTACCTTCAACCAAAAGAGAGTACACTGTGGCTGCAAATTCTTCAAAGTGATTTCTTCTGTTCATCAGTATAACCTCTATATTGTTTGGATTAAGCATCAAACAGCCATTTTTCATTTCCAAGCACTGGGTTATCTGATGGTGGTGATATGGTTTTATGTAATGAAGGATAGGTAGAACTGTGTGTCATCTGCATATTGACACAACATTCAACATTCAACTGATGCCATCATTCTCAACTGATGCAATCACTGTCACTTACTAAAATGTCAGAACACCTACAGGAAATCAGCACTAGGATGAAGAGCAGCTTGCTCAAGGCAAGACAGAAGGTATGGTGGTTGGAAAAGGGAAACACTTTGAAGTAGTAGCTGCAATGTTAGCTCCATCTTCCATTGAAAGCATACTGTCCCCATTCGTCAGATTGGTGTGAAGCCTCAGGGTTCTCTTGGACTCTTTACTAAGCTTGGAGGACCAGGTAGGATCAACATCTAAAAAATACCTTCTTTCAAATCTAGCTTGCTAGGAAACTTTGTTCCTTCCTCCTGGACCAAGATCTGGCCAGAGTTATCCATACATTTTCTTTTCCCGGATGACTACTATGCATCACTGTGTCTAAAGTATATGTAAAGACAATGCACAAGCTCCACCTCAGAATGTGGTTGCCACCTTCTCTATGGCGTAGGCCAGCATGAGCACAATAGGCTCATCCTCAAGTCCACCCGCTGGCTGTCAGTCAGTTTCTGATGCCAGTGTAAGGCTTTGATCCTCATTTTCAAAGCAATGAATGGATCAAGACCCATATATGTTCAAGACTGAATTTTGATCTATCAAGCACCATCTGTGCTCCTCTGGGACAACACAGATCTCAAAACCCAAGGTAAAGTATATGAGTGCTGGGAATAAAGCATTCTTGGTCAAGGGAATCCAGCTATAGAAGTAACTTTGAGGAGATTATGTAAATCCAGAGTTGAACCATCTTTAGTAAACACAGCAAAACCTTCCTCTTTGAAAAAGCCTTTCCACCATAAGAATGAGACTCTCAATGTTGACATTCCCTTCATGTCCCTTCATGCCCCTGCCAAATAACCCAGAGAGAGAGAGAATTAATAAAATTTTAAAAATCAAAACCAAAAACTGTACCCAGCAGATATTTTATTTCTAAAAGGGAGAAGTGTCCGAGACTCTATGAAACCTATTTGTGACTTCGCTATGACTATTGATTTTACATGGAAGATGCCCAGATACTATGGTGATAGGCAGTAGTAGAAAATCCTGAAATAGATCAATAGATAGATATTTCTGGCAGCTGAGTCCATGTCATCTTACCATTTTACTTAGTGGCTGCATGTTGATGTTGAATAGGAGCAGAGAGAGAATTTATCCTGATGGAGGAGATTTAGTTTTTCATCACTGATCTTTGGATGCATCCCTGCAGGAAGGACATAAACCATTTTAGCACATTTCCCTGGACACCTGTCACCTTTTCAGACAGGACAGCAGTATATCATGTGCAACAATGTTTAATACTGCAGAGAGGTCCAGGAGGATGAATAAAAGCTAGGCAGTCAGCAGGCAAAGGTCAGTCAGTCAGTCAGTCAGTCAAGAAAATTAGGAGCAGGAGAAGAAGAAGAAGAAGTCAGAGGACAGAATCATAAGAAGCAACTGCAGGGTCACAGCAGTAGCAGTGCTGCTGGGACAAAGCAGAACGGGACCCTGTCAAAGCAGAGGGAGAGAAGAGTGCGAAGAGTAAGCCTGCTAGCTTTAGTGCAAAATACAGATAGAAATAGGAGTATGTGTCTGTATTAATGAGTATGTGTATGTATGTTTGGGTTAATAAAGATGTGTGTTCGGGTTGTGACTGTTACATTGCTTCATATGTATAAAGTTTAAGATTTAAGATTGCTGTCAGCAACTGCAGGTGACTGATCACCGCATACAGAATGCAGCCGCTTAGTATTGCTCGAACTATATATTTATGGTTTGGATACTTTTAACCTCAAGAATTGTGCTAAGGGATTTATGTTTATGTTTTGATCTATGTTAAAATTAATTGTGTCAGGGAAGATGAGTTACACTAACTAAAGAAAATACTTTGTTTTGGAAGAATACTGCCTGGATGTCAATCAATTATATTGGAGGGCTGTATCCAGGGTCCTTCCAAGGGTAGCAGGTCTAAGTTGTACTGTGAAGTTTTTCCTAAAAGTGTTTCATGCAAAGCTCTGGCAATTTCTCAGGGGGAGCAGATAAATGGGACAACTGAAGGGAACCTCTGGAAAACCCAGGAAGGCATAATAGGTAAGCTATTGTGGGGGTACTGTGAATTTGTTTTGTGGGGTAACATGGCTAGCTTCTCTATGAGCTTGCTAAGGAACAGAAGCTTTGATACTGTGTGGCAGCTGGCTAGAACAAACATATCCATACCAATATATTCTTCAGTGTTGGTTGGACTACTTTGTGTTTAAAGGAGGAAGCGAAGATTCCTTCCTGAATGAAGCACTGGCTATTTCAGTCATGAGTGTCACCAGTTGTTCATGACCATCATCCACCAGTGAGGAAGGACATGGGTTAGATTTACAAGTCTTGAGTAGGATCCTGTAGGGTATCCAGTGCTTCCTGAGGAGTGAATGTACTGAACTCTGGGAATACAAGAAGTCTGTTTTTTGGCCATTGTAGGGGAAACAGATCTATGCTGTTTGAGAAACTTTCATGAATATGCATGATCTATATAGCAAAGATGATTGATCTTCACAGCATTTGGTGCTTGGTTCAGTTGCAGGCTGTAGATACTCAGGATTGATGAAGTGGTTCACCACGCCAGATAACTCCTTAAGGCAAGATTTGGCAGAGTCTTTTTCTTGGGACACATCCTCCTCCTGGATTAAAGTGTGGTCAAAGCTTGAGAGTCCTTCCATGGAGCACCAAATAGTAATATAACTAACAAAAGGTTCAATTTCTCTTTTTTTTAGTTTGCAAACTTGCCCGCAAGATTTTCATAGTAAAATTCCACCCCATGTAATCAAATCTGGAAAATCTGTTATTTTTCCAGTTTTGCAATCAGATTTTCAATCACGTGTAAAAGAAGGCAAAGAGAGGAAACTTTTCCTGTCTGTAATGGTGAGACCACAAGCGGCTGAGTGTTCCTGTTCTCAGTGTAATAGAAAAAAGTATGGCAAACAGCAACATCTCTAAGAAACACAGATTTTTACGGCAGGGGTGAGCCTTAAACCGCCATCCTGGAGTGATGAAGTAGATGGTTTCTTCCTTTATTTTTAATCATATAAAACTTTTAAACAGAGACATGACATTGTAGAAAGGCAGGTGTCAGGCACTTGGAAAAAGAGACAGATTACCAACTGGAATTGAAAAACGTGATCCTCAGGCATGGCCAATGAGCAAATGGAATTAAACAATTAATCTTATATCTCCACAACCTGTTAGCTGTACCAGAGGTTGCAAACAAAGTAACATTAACTGACTGGAATTAAAATTGTGGGCCCTTCCCACTCACAATTTGTAACTAAAATCTAAAAGTGGGGCAACCCCCACCCCACCCCAAAAAAATGCCAGACAGTTGACAGCTGATACTTTAGGTGTCGTTTAGTTGAAGGCACAAAACAGACAGGGCCAAAATGAATCAGATCATCACTTGGTGTAAATAAGAATTGCTCCATTGACTTCAAAGGACAGTGATTAATTGACACCAGCTGAGCTTTGGCCAAGTACCAAAATGAGGTTTATGAGGAGTGGAAATAAGGGCAGAATTTAATCCAGAGATTTTCCTTATGCTTCCTTGTCCTTGCCTTGTGATACCTTTCATTTGCTCAGCCACTCTTAAAGAAATCACTGTTTTTTGTGGTTCTGTCAGATACTGCCCAGCCACATAACCACCTCCAAAGTAGTGTATCTGTAAACAGTTCATTTCACACTTTCTTTTTAATCAGGGAAATAATGAATAATAAACAATGAATAATGAAGAGTGAAAAATACTGAATTGGGCCCACTGTGTACAAGGTTCATTTAATTCATTATATTATATGGTAAGGAGTAGCGCTGCAGTTTCAATTTATATAGACAAAATACTGTAAGATCTAATGGCTTTGATCCTCTAAATAATGATTATGGCTTTTATGAGCCATCAGCTGGGCCCAGTTTTCATGTCTAATCTATATGAATGAGCTACCATCTCTGTGAATCAGATCATTAGTAGAGATTTATACAGATAATATGATGATTTATTATGGTGCCATATAAGATCTCTAGGTGTAGTTGTTGCCTTGATTTCAGGCATGAGTGGTGTCAATGATTTGCTTGAACTAAATAGTTTGTCACAAGAAACAAAACAGAGATTGAGAAACTGGGAAGTTTATTGCGAGTAAATTAATCTGATAAGAATAGATCAAATAAAGCCTTCATGCAAAGATTCTCCATTGGGGTAAAATAATTTGTTAAATAAATTCAAGAAATAATACAGAAGATATCATTCAGTATATATGGAAATAAAGCAAGCTTTATCAATGAAAAAAAGCTGCTAAACGTTGCACAGTCAGCTAATATTAAGTATGTTACAGTTTATTATTACATCAACCTAAGAATAAATACACACTCAATCTTGCAATTAACTGCATGTGTGTGCATTCCTTTAGCCAACTGCAGGATCACATCCTAAATGCCTACAGTTTGCATCAGTGGTTAGCATCTGTGGGTATAACTACACTGCAATAAAATACCTGTTGCTGGCCCATCAACTGACTCAGGCTCACAGTTGCTGGGCTGCGGGACTGTACAATTGCAGTGTGGACGTTCAGGCTTGGGCTGGAGCCCAGACCCATGAGTGGGAACAGTGCCAGCATCCAAGCTCCAGCCCAATACCAAACATCTACATTGCAAATTTATAGTTCCGTATCCTAAACACTGCAAGACCAAGTCAGCTGACATGGGCCAGCTGCAGGTGTTTTACTGCAGCGTGGACAAACCTTGAGAGTGCCAGCTGTGGGCCTCAAGCAGTTAATAATGCTGGGCCCAGTACTGCATTACTTACCCAAGCAAAGTTTTCATTGACATCAATGGGAATTGTGTCTCGGTGAGGACAGGAGGACTGAGCCATTGATGCACAAAGGGATTTTCTTCTTTCTACTTTCTTCTTTCTCTAGAGCCCTATGTTGGTACAGGACTGGTCACTTTCCAGTGGGAGCAGGATTCCAGAAATATAGGCCTCATAAATAGAAAAGCATTAGCACAGCACATTATATATCTTTGCATTTCTTAAATTATACCTGTGAAATACCATGGTTTAATGGGGCACATAGTTGGTATGTTACTCATTTCACATTAAAATGGGATGATTTACAGTTCCTGATTATCACTTAAATAATACAAGAGTCTTATAGCTTTGTTTTCTTTAAGCACAAGAATTCTCATGCATATTGGTCACCTAGAGAGAGAGTGGTAGAACCAGAATGGGTTGAGACTCTGATATATCATACACTTTAGGTGAGTAGAGGGCCTGGCTTTGCTTAGGTCAGACAGACATTATTAGTTACAACTCTGCTAAACAAAACTAATGACAGGTTTCAGAGTAGCAGCCGAATGCATGCATCCGATGAAGTGAGCTGTAGCTCACGAAAGCTTATGCTCAAATAAATTTGTTAGTCTCTAAGGTGCCACAAGTACTCCTTTTCTTTAAACAAAACTAAGCAAATATTCTGGTTCTGATTTCTTGCATTTCAGCAGTATGGCACCACTATACAAAATCCACTTGAGGTGTAATTCTCCCCTGTGCGAAGGACCACTGTTGTGATAATTGGGCCTACAGATTTATCCTAATTGTAAACTCATTTGGTGAAAAGTGGCTAAAGGTTCATGAATTGTCATGATAATCTGTGATATACAACTGTTTAAGAAAAAATGCTAGAAGGAGACAGAAAGAGTCTACTGTTACCACTCAAGGACTGTGTTAAGATTATGAGTGGTAAACAAGAGGAGCAGAGGACTGGAAATCAAGCAACCATAATTGGTGTATTAGAAATTAGGCCTAATTGGTGGACAAAATAACGAGAAGATGGATTATTTCACCCATCACCTGTTTGGGGCCCTTATAAAGAGACTTTGGAGAGAACAGATTAAGAACTATTGCCATCACCATGGCTGCAGGAAGGATGTTGCCATGACACCAGACCTTGTCGGGGCGCAGATGCTTGACCATCATCACTGAATCGGCCGGGACCCCAAAATGATACATGTGAGATCCTTCCCTCTCACCCAGGTGCTCATTTCTGCTGCATATCTTCCTCTTGTCCTATCTCTCTCTTTCTCTCGACTTTTCACCTGACCCTGAAATCACTGTACTGCACAGCACCAGCACAGTGAAATGAGATGACCCGTCCAGCTCTGCACAGCTGGAGAAGGACAAGTGAATAAGGGGACATGGCCAGACCAACCAGATGATGTCCCTAATCAGGGAGGTGAGCTGGGGTCCAGAGAAATAGCTGTTTTGGCCAATCTGCCAGCCCAAAGCATATTTCATGACTGTCCATCAATCAATTTCAGTTGTAATGCTCTTTACCTCATTTTGATTCTTTTTCTAAATATTAGAAATGTATCATTGTTTTGTGACCTCCCAGACTAACTTCCTCCCCCCACCATTCTTCTCCATTCTTAAAACGTTTGCTCATATATATAACATTCTGCATTCAGCCAATTTACATGTGGTGGGAATACTGGATGAGCTGGTACTCAAACAATCAGCGTTAAGAAATGGTTTATAATCACCTGTACTAGTGTCCATAAGGATCATTCTAGGACAATTGTCCTTCCTGTTTCAACTGGCTTATCTACTATGACAATTACAATGGACACATTAATCATATCTAACAGATACAGTTGGACAAAATACAGTACTATCTGGCCCCATAAATGCCTGGTTGTAGCAATCCAACTATATGCTCTATACTCATTCCTTCCCTCACATTCTCATCTCATATTTTTATTTATACTATTATACTATCACTAATGTAAGCACAAATTTAATTTATACTATCTTTCCAAATGTAAGCATATAATATAATGTAGTATATAACAAAGCATCTGTCTTAAGATGCCCTATTAAGAAACTTAACAGCCAAATTTATTTGCAATGTACATTAGACTAACTGCAGTGTATATATTATCTTGCTTGATCTTTATACTGATTTTTTGTGTGAAAAATAGTACAGAGGTAAAAATAAATGTATTATAGTGATATTTGTTTTAATATATGCATAATTGTTATGGCATTCAGACTACCAAATGATTACATGAATGCAACCACATTATTTTAGTGGATGAAAGCATCTGAAAAAAAATGTGACTATATGATCAGTGGCAATAAAGTTACTTCTCTTTGCCTGTATTAATTGCTGTGTGCAGAACTGTGTACTTGTCTAAAATCTGCTCCTGTTCAGCAGCTGTGTAATCTTTCATTTTAATTAAATCACTTTGAAAAGGTGCAGAACAGAAGTCCATAGCACCCACTTGAGTATATGAATCAGGCCCATTATGATGTGCAGTGTGCTCAGACACTCACATGCTCCTTATCTGATTCCATGGGATAACAAGAATTATCTGTAAGCACAAGACTCACTTGGCCCTAAGTCAATATGAATACATGAAATTTTGTAACCATTGCATTTATTTCTAGAGTACTGTTGCAGTTTTACATCTCTCCTCAATAGTGTAATTATTATATCTATCCAGAGGTGTCTTGTGAAAGCTAAAAAGGGCTGTATGGAAAGTGTTATCAAAACCAAATGATTTTTCCTCCACTCTTTGTGGGAATATTCTTTAAAAGTACAGAAAGGCTGCTGAAGATCATCTTTTGCTATTAATGGATAAATAATTATGTTCAGATTTACTGTTTGCTATTTTAAAAAAACTAATTAGCTCATTGTGAAAAAAAATAAGCCTTTAAAGTGTCTCTAGGTAAATGATGCGAACACATTATGTAAATATTTGTCTATATTTTTAAATACATTTGATTAGATTGTGATTCCACAATTGTGCACATATTCTAGCAGATACATTTGATGATAAGAATATTTGTCAAAATAGCCCATTTTAAGCAAATACTATAGAATATTACAGAGTGTGAAAAGTGAATTCCCAAACCTGAATTACACTCAGCCAGACAGGGCAGAGAAATATACCCACGTGACCTGCAAGTCCAATCAAAACCAACTTACAAAGTCTGATTTTTGACTGTCAAATTCTTGTAAAGAAATGCTTATGAACAATCTACAGCCTAAGAATTATTTGGTCAATGACTTTTAATAAAGAATTCATTTGAGGGATGCTCCTCAAAAATAAAAAGTAGAAAAATATGTCAAATTATTCATTTCAAATTACTTTCCCATCACTATTAGAAAGCACATAAAAGGAAGAACGATATGTGTGCTTTCTTCTGTCTTCTTTTTTTACTAGCAAGCAATCCACACACTTCCTAGACTTCTTGGTTTTTCTTTCTTTACTTGCTATCTTGAATACTTAAAAATAGTCATTGAGTCAGAGAGAGATTGAGAATGATTCAATAGCCTACTGATTAGCACATTCTCCTGGGAGACCTAGATTCCAGTCCTTGCTTCACTGAATGTTTAAGTAATTTATTAAAAAGCGGAACAGTATGAACAGGAGAGATTAAGAGAGCGGTCCTAGAATAGCCTATAGCCCAGTGGTCAAGGCACTCACCTAGAAGATAGGAGGCTTCAACTCCTTCCTGTCAATCAGGCAAGGTGAGGATTTGAACCAAGGTCTCCCCCATCATGAATTAATGCACTAACTAGTGCAGTATGGGATGGGTGGGTATGGCCCTGCTACCTCCTCCTGTGATTTATGCAGAACCTGATCTGGTAGGCATGTTCTTAGCTGCCTCCAATCATACCTGCTGGATTGATCTCCACAGGGAAGATAAGTGGAAGAACAGCTAGTTTGAGTAAGACTGCACCACGCCTTTAAGCAGGCGGGAGGATGATTTGCCTGGCTGGCCAATGAAAGGTACAGTGCTTTATGGTTGGGGGGTGGGAGGATGAGAGGAAAACTGCTGCAAAAGAAGACAAGGGGCCAGCATGGCGACACTGACTCATCCCCTGGGAACCGGATGCGTGGGAGAGTTTAAAAGGGGCAGCCCTGTGTCTGAAGCCCCCTTTTACATGGAGCAGGCTGAGGCAGCACCCACTGTTCCTCCCCTGTAGGTACTGAAATACCAGGTTTGGTCAAGACCTGCTGTGGGCATTACACTGGCTGCCCCTTTTTTGGGAAGGAATTTTCCCCTTCCTACCAGATTGGCCTAGGAGGAGTTGGGTTTTTTTGCCTTCCCCACAGTGGGTTAGGGTAGGGCTTTGTTGAGGTGTGGCATGAAGGGCAGTAGGCTATATGTCACAACTCATTTTGTAAGTTTAAGGTGGATGTCCAGTGCAGGTACTCCATAGAAAAGGTATACAGTGACCAGATAGATGGCTTGGAAAAGGACTTAAAAAGGAGGTGTTTGTTAAAGGAAAGAATGGTGGTGGGGAGGCTTAGGGGCTCCTATGAATGGTACATGAAGGAGCCAAACCCCCTTTCTTATAGCCTGCTTTAGCCCTCCTACAATGTGGGATGGATGGTAAGGTCCTAGCAATGGACTGGCTGGGGGGACCTGGATGGAAAAAGAGGGGGAGCTGGTGGAATCCTCCCAGATAATTATGGAATAAACATGGGGTTACCTGCACTGTACTTTTATCTGCCAGGTAGTCCCAAACATCTAATAATAAAGTTGCAGACTGATTAAACCCATATCAAATGTCTCCTGTTCTTTCAGTACAGCTGGACAATCATGCCTGGGTTCTAGCACTGAGCAGTTCAGTGGCATTAGGATTTAGGAAGGTTTGCACATGCCACTGGAAGAAATATAGGTGCCTATATACTGGTGGAAATGTAGGTCCCTACAGGGTTAGGCGGCAGCTGAGCAGGTGTTTTGAGGATATACATTTTGGACTTAAAGAAAAGGAGTACTTGTGGCACCTTAGAGACTAACCAATTCATTTGAGCATAAGCTTTCGTGAACTACAGCTCACTTCATTGGATGTATCCGATGAAGTAAGCTGTAGCTCACTAAAGCTTATGCTCAAATGAATTGGTTAGTCTCTAAGGTGCCACAAGTACTCCTTTTCTTTTTGCGAATACAGACTAACACGGCTGTTACTC